ATTCTGGGCTAAGCAGACTGCTCATATAGGATTTTTATATTATATTTATTTCATTAATAACACAAATTAACTCAATAGTACACAAAATCACTTAAAAATAATGATTAAATGATATGGGTACGTATAATGGCGTAATTTTTATTTTTATTTATTCTTCAAGAAGATAAGGGGGGGGGCACTGTGAACATATTCGTACATGTACAGACGGTGTAATGGTACTTTGTATTATTCGTATATATACGATTATACGAATACTGCAGGATGCATCTAAGTATATTTATTTTTATTAGATATTTGAACTGACAGTTCCTAGTTCAAATATACCTATACATAATATAGTTATTATGTACCTATATCGAACTAAAAGTAATAAATAATAATAGTAATAATAATAGTCTTTATAATTTTGAACTTTGAATTAAGTAGATTAAAAATTTAAGTCTATATATTATTAAGTATAATTGATGTAATATTTTACCTCGATAAATAGTCTGTATTCACTATCCAGTTGTTTTTATAAATGAGCTGAATAATGAATAACTTTATGGATGTTTTTACAATTTCATAGGACATCTCTATTTCATAATCCAACAGTCAACACGTTTTACTACCAAATTAAGTTAATTCTAGTGGAGCTGTTAAATTTTAAATTTATATATAGGTTAGGTTAGGATGTATTTTTGCATTATTACCCAATGAATGTGAACTATAATTTGGTTCATTAAGACAAATATTTAAATTTTAAATACAATTGATGATGATAATTTATTAACATTATTATTTGTTTTATTATTATTAAATTTGTATTAATATGAGGTACCAATAAGGGGCAGCTCCTCTTTAATTTTTTTACATAGGTAATATTTTCTTTGAATTAAATTCTTTTTTTTGTTCACATTTTTTATATAATAATAGTAATAATAAAAAGGTAAAACTTGTCAAAGTTCGTATATACATTATGATGATATTTCCTCTGAAGACCAATAATTTTAAATGCTTATAAGATGTATTCATTATTTAAGAAATATCCATAGACGATTTAAATTTCTTCTAAATCAAAATTTGAACGAGTAGTTTTTGAGTTATTGAAATATAAGTATCAGTGGCGTATTTATGAGGGCGATAGAGGGGAGGGGGTGGTCCAAATTGCCCCATAACGATGTATATACATTTTTTTACTGAATTTATCTTATAGAAAAAATGATTATAAATGTAACCCAGAGCTTATTGTGTTAGGACAATTATGTGGAATTCAATGAAAAATATATAAATACGCCACTAATAGGTAAACTATTTACTAAGCATTAATGTAGTTCTAAAAAATTGCGTTACAAAATTATGAAATAGCTGATGTAATATTTAATCTATAGGTAGTACTTATTAAACTCAAACAAATTGTACAAAATATAAAATATTGATAGATTAATAAAAAAAACTCAAAACCATTCGTCAAATTTTAAATAGGATACATCAACATTTTCAAAAAAATCATCCACATAATAATTTACCGGAAAAAGTTGATAGTTCTAACTCGAAAAAAATATAGGTACTTATATAATAATTATAATTATTTCGTATAAGTTTTGCACTCTTGTTACAACATTTGAAATGTACCCTGAAACATTTGAAACATTAAGTAGTTTTTAAAATTAATAAATTACCATTTTCGTATAAAACATATGTAATTTGGGTTACTGGCAGCTGTAGAAACAATCCTAGAGTTTCTGTATCCCAGATGCTTCCATCTGTTGTATACTGCATCCTATATATTCAACACACGATAACTATATGCCTATATTAATATATCATTCTCATCCTCCAAACTAAATTCAGGAAAAAAATTTTTAAATTCATTAATGAATCATGGAATTATTAAGTAAAAATTACAACGGGATACTTAGCAGTGAGCTCTATGAATTATTATTATTTATCTTTTGATATAAAATTAATGAGGTTTCAATCAAAAATTTTAACCATCTTCAGATACAAACACCGGATGAGTACATGGTCCAAATCTAGGGGGACAGGGATTATAAGTACTTAAATCTAGAAATTAATGATCTTAAATTACAAAAAAAAAGCTGTCAGGTCCGAAAAAGTTTGAGTGTAAGGTGTATGGCCCGGTATGGGTATAGACAAATTAATATAATTCAATTTAAGCGTATGATACCTCAAAAGAACAAATAAATTATATTATACGGTTATAGTTGACTTAACACGATTAATATGGATGAGTCATATCAAATAGACTTATGAATATAATAATTTACTAATACAAATATACCTAGTAAATCCATAACGCATCTGTAGACTGTAATGTTTAATTATTACGTATAATCGTTTTCAATAAGTATGATTGACTTATACTTGTTTAGTTGTTTTATATTTTTACATTTTATATTAGGCACCTATCATAAAGCGTTTGTTTGAAACCATGCAACTTTTTATTAAGTGTTTATTCATATTGCGATTTATTTTTTTATTAGTTATTAAATTCTTAAAGTTTAATTGTTATTTTAAATTATAACAGACCATAGTATAATATAATACAAATGTAGGTTAAAAGTTTATAACATTTAAATTAGGAACCCACGCAAACAAAATTTCAAAATAGTGAATAATGTCTGCAACGCTAATGGTTATTAAACGGACAGTATATCTTATACGTATATTGCACAACAAACAATTAAAAAAAAAAAACGTGTCTATAATATGCGATGAAGGTGCGAAAATTTCGGTTACTAAGACGTTATGTCAGATGAATTTTTAATTAATTGAATACGTTATTAATATGCACACGCGTTGTGGTATCGCACATCGCACATGCATAATATATTTTATTTTTATAGTAGGCATTTCTCAATAAAAAAAAAAATAAAAAAACCTCGTTAAACGAGAGGCGGTGTCTTTAGAACAACTAAAATCGTTTTCAACCACACTACAATTCATTATTATTATTATTATTATAATACATAATATGTACGTTTATCTTATATAATTAAATGTAATAAATTACGGTAGCAATGAACAGATATATTATTATTTTTTGGGCAATCATTTAAGTATAATATTTTTAATGTTATACCAAATAAATATATTTTTGTGTTCATCTTTACGTTTTATACGATGTGAATGATGAATATAATATAACACGAGTTCATCATGGTACATAGGTAATATTATGTTATTATATTACACATTATGTTTTTGACACGGTCGCGTATGCAATAAAAAAAAATACCACGTCTCCGACGCATATAATATAGTATAATAATATGTAATATTATATCGTATTACTTACAGGGTACCTACTTACAGGTAAAAAATATTACGTATATTTTATAAATAATCAAAAATCCACGGTTGTCGTGGATTCTAGTATTTTGGTTTTTTTTTGACGTAACGTCCCGGCCACAGTACCCCTATATATACCTATACATATATTATTATTATAATAGGCAACGTCGTATAGTAATGTCACGGTGTTCTCAATACACCACGTACCGTCGGCAGCGGCCGTCCATTCACCATTGTTGTTCACGCGTATTCCCAACGTACGACAGTATTATTATTATTATTATTATTATTATTATTATTATGTATACACGTATTTCGGATTTTATTATTTTTTCATCCTCTTCCTCTCCGCCGTTCCCATCAGATTTCTTTTCTGAAATGCGGACACAACAACCGTGTGGCTACGGCCGTAATAATTTCATATATATAACATACAGAGTGATTCTTTTATCACGTCGAGTCAGTTGATTCTCCGGTAAGCTTATGGTTTTTGAAAACATTTAAAAAGAAAATATTTAATAGTAATTACAACATTATATTTTTGTATGTTCATGTATAGGTATAAGGTATTACTAGTTACTCTAGTAAGTTAATTTTTTTTTTTAAGTACTAGTATACTCGTGGCGTAATTATTAATATACTGTAGGTAGTATAGTATATTTTAGCCATGTGTATACCTACATTATTATACTTATATAAGTTTTTCACTTTTATGACAACATTAATTTTCATATATTCTGAAACAGAACATTTTACTGAGGATTTCCATGTTGGTACCTATAGTTAAAATTTAATTAAACCTTAAAATTTGGATGATGAGCGGAGTAGTGCAACAACGGTTGGCTGGGTTACCTCTACAGCAAAGCTTCCCAGTCATATACACTCTTGTTCGCTTACTTGCAATTTACTTGGTAAATGTGGTAATTTTTTATTGTTCAGATATTCGAATTTTACACATCAAAATCACATTTATAAGAAATATAATTATTTTACGTAATAATTATTGTTGTAACGACTTTAAATCATAATATTATTGTGGGTGTTGGCTTGATATCAATCCATTTTGGTGGGCATGTGAAAAAAGTTTTCGAAAACTCATAACTGCGAATTCGCCATAGACAATTAGTGGTTCGCGCGATAAATAAGAATCGCCGCCCCGACCGCCCTGTACACATCGCATGCATCCTATACATCTACCTACACATAATAATAATAATAATAATATAATATTAAATATTGTACGTTTCAGGTCGTATATAATATTTGATATAGGGGTAAGATGAGAACGTGTATTGTGCCGTACAGACGAAAAAGATTAAAAAAAAAAAACGTATACCTATCAAATATTATATAGGTACCGAACAATGAATAATAATATTGGTATATACGCTTGTACGTGCGGTGTAATAATACGGAACGGCGGCGGGGACGGGGCACAGGGGGTTGGCAGCCGCACACAGAAGGAATCCCACGAGCCGACGACACCAAGTCTGGGACGAAACGCGCGCGCCGTGTGTACACGCACGGCAAAACGGCCGCCGCCATACGTACCGTCCACCCGCCCGCCCGCCATCATTCCCCCATCCGCTCGTCCGGGCGCGTTGACGGCTTTCGCAGCCAAGGCGGCTGCGATGCCCGTTATACACGACCGGTCGCGCCGATTGGTCCGACCGCATTCCCTTCTGCCACCGCCGCCGCCGCCGCAGCCGCCGAGCGACCGTATCTCGTTGCCGGCCGCCGCAGTGAGTCTACCGATCTCCGAGACCGCGTTACGACAATAATAAAATATTTCTTTTTTTTTTCGAATACGATGTTCTCGTTGTTTACACGCACCACGCACGCACACACACCTCTGCGCTGATAGCGAGTTGTAGCGACTGACGCTGTTTGCGCGCGACCAATCTTTTACATTATCGTTGTCGTGTACACCTCAGTGACTCAGTGGTTATCGTCGGTATTCCGATACCGCAATATTGTGTGCTGCGTTCCGTCTGTTGACGATAATATTACGTCAATAATCGCCGCCGCCGTCCGTATTATAATAATATTATTAATTTCGCGCGCCGCTGCCGTTTACGAATCGATCGGGCTCCGCCGCCGCCGGAATTGATGCTGCCCGTCATCCGAGTGCGATCGCCGCGTCCCCTCTGTCGTCGTCGTCGTCGTCGTCGTCATCGTCCTCTTCATCCTATCGTGCACGGCCGTCCGCTGTAAATGGTAATGTTCGCGAAATGTCGCAATCGATTTATTATCATTATACCTATCATTACCTACGTATTCCCTATTATTATAGTATTGTACGTCTATAGATGTGTCAAGTAGATGCATATTAATAAAATATATATCAGGTACCTACCTAAATTATATTAATTGTTGTGCGTATCTTTGTCGTTCGATCTCAGACATACCTATTTTTTTTAATATTCTCAGATATTACTAAATATATAATAATATATAATTGTACAACTTGAACCGTTTTGGTGTTGTTGTAATATTGTCGTTAGATAATAACGTTTAAAATGTTTCACTTGTACTATCGTCCGACTATGTCGTTACCCTGATATACTTAATCGCAGTGGCTGGCATTACTCCGATGGTTTTCGTCATTCAATAATCCATCAGAGTCTGATACCTACTATTGTTTATTTTCATTAAATATTTTCTCAATCGGTCATGTTTTGGTATTTTTCAGCTTTGTTATGAAGATATGGTGACGTAGCTGGTTGTTCGTGTTCAATACACTCCTGGAGGATGCTTGTTTCAAACCTCATTCATCGTATTTGGATAATATGGGCCACCGTTATTGCAGGTAAGAGTTTTGCAAATGTTGACTCGTTATGTTATTTGTTAGGCGATTAAATGATTTGTAATTTAACAAATTGTGTTATGCGTAAATTTAACCGCCTTTTATTTATTATTTATCAAGTGCCAATAACTTGTCTCCAAGTATCACCAATTAAATTAATATTACCGTTCTGTCAATTCCAATTTTAGTTATTTACTTATCAATTTAGTAAACTGATTAAAATAATATTATGATTCCATGCCAATACAACTACGAGTATAATATAAATTAGTATTTGTTTACGTTTACATCTACATGGCGCTGCCGAATGTAAATGTTTACTAGTGATTTGTTTATTGTATTTTTGTGTGTTAAACAATGTGTAGTATCTATAAATTATTTTATGTTGATAATAATTGGTACTGTTTCATTGAGACTAGTTTTTAAAGCAATTTAAAGCAGATAGGTATCTACTTCCTACTTAAAAAACATTAAATGAAATGAACTTGATAAATTATTCTTGAAAGATAATGTAGGTACTAAATACTGGTTTATGAATATAATTTAAATGAAGTAGATTAGCATACGTCATAATGTTCTTTTATGTTGTCTATTTTAATTTAATGATTAATTTTTATGTTTGTTTAATTACATCGAGAATCTAATGAGTAACATAAACTTTTTTTAGTGTGCACCTGTGTTCCAGTACCATGTCCTCAAGATACATGTACTTTGCCTGATAATAAGGACAATCAATGTAGAGATTTAGATGCATACCTTAAGTGTATGAAATCATTATCGAAGAAATGCCGTGGTGACATTGGGTATCATTCAGCTATTACGGTATCAAATTCAGAGTTCAAAAGGAAATGCATCGGCAATGAAGATTTCTCCAGAAATAATAGCGGTGAAAATTCCCAAATGGTACCATCAACTCACAATGGACCTGCTTGCCCATTGCTATTTGATGACAAAAAACCACACCGGTTTTGTGGCTTGTTTGGTGATCCTCATTTGAGGACATTCGATGGCCGATATCAAACTTGCCGAATTCATGGGGCTTGGCAAGTGATCGAGAATCCATTTTTTAGTATCATGGTAACCAATGACGCCATTTTAAATAGCACAACAGCCACGGCTCCAACTAAGGTATTTAATTAATTTGTTATATGTTAATAGAAAAATATGTTTAATCATAATTTTCTTAAATTTTTAGTTGACTGTCATGTTAAAAGCACATAAACCTGAGTGTACTCCGTACAAATTGTACGAAGCACAAGGAGATCTTCAGTTGCCAGATAAATTTGAAGATAGTACCACTTCATCTGGACCAGCTTCATCGCCAACTGTTTCCCTTTCCTGGCGCTCCAATGACCCCAACAGTGCCAACAGTGAGACAGTAATCATACGATTATCGTATATTTCTACAATTATAACTGTGACCCGTGTTGGAAAATATCTGTCCATTTCTGCTAAATTGCCAGACCAGTTAGCGCAAGTATTTGATCAAGACAAGAATGTATTATGTTCTACTGGTTGTCCAACTTCTGAACAAATAGATATTAAACAAGTCACAATAAGTGAATTAGATCGTGGGTTGACATTATGTCACAACAGTATTGGGCCCACCGGTCACAAACTAACTGATCAGTATTTAGATTGGTGTGTGTTCGATATGATGACTTCTCACGATGAACAGTTCATCAATGCTTCACATGCAGCATATTCTGATGTATTGTTTTTTGAACCACGCTCATTGTTTAATAGAACGGTTAGTGTATTTGAGTTTAACCCCGATTCAACAGCTGATGCCAATTGTACACATAAATTAAACTTATTTATTCTCACTATCATTGCATTGTACAACTTTCTTTGAGTGTTCCTAGTATTGTAGCTTAAGAAGACACCATACCTTAATTTATTGTCTCTACCTTACGCACGTCCAACATCACAACAATTCATATTCTATGTATACTATTTTCCTTTACAAATGATACTATACTTAAGTTTAAACTATACGTGCTTAAAATAAGACATTTTAAAGTCGAGGTAAGACTTTTTAAGTATTAAGTATATTTTTTCTGATAATATACTTTTTATTTTTAATAGACAATAGTTTAGTTTTCCTGCCAATATTTATTTAACGAATTGATTAACTTGTTAATCTCAATTCTATATATTAAAAAAACCCAATAACTTAATTTATATTGCTATGAATCTACATTCTTATATTTTTACACTTTCTAATTTATTGACTTTTATTTCAAAGTGTTAACAAATGTAATAATGAACAAACACAAATGTCCATAATATTTTTTTACTTAAATTATTTTAACATACTAAACAATGTAATTTAGATTTTGGCTATTTTGTATTAAATAAGTTATTTTATATAACTTAATAATATAAGTGTATTGCAACCGGAATATTATCTCTTAAATGTATATACAGTAGTTAATTTTCTAACTTGAGAGTTTAATGTGTTGCTATAGTTGTATGGAGTAAAAAAGAATGTAATATCATTGCGGTTTTTTCTAATACATCGGTAGGCCATGCTGGCCAATTGTGTATTTTAAAAAAAAACGTTACCATTTTATTGTATAAATCAGTGTAAAAAGAAAACAAATAATATAGGTGTCATTAAGTAGAGTTTATTTAGTACAATATTTCTGATCCTAGTCCGAATTTTGTGATTTTATTTATATTATGTAATTTTAAGGATTTTTTATATGTTAAAATTAATTATGCATAGATATTTTTTTTATATAAACACAATTTTTTGTGTTAATTCATAATCTAATATGAACTATTAGTCGGTGATTTGGTTAAGCCAATAGTGTCAATTAATTTTTTTATGTACTCTTATACTTTTGTAGTTATGTACATTAATACTGAATATATTATTGTAAACTTTTATAAATATCTATTAAATTTAATAGACATAAGTATAAATGTATGTATATTTATACTTACACTTAGTATCTAACCAAATAAAATATTATTATTTTTACAAATATGTTGTGTTTGTGAATGTTTCCAATACAATTACTATGTATCATCATTGATTTTATAATATATATATGTATATTATAAAATCAATGGTATTATGCATACAGTATTATTATTATTATGAACCTTAAACATAAAAACATGAATAATACACAAATACTGCCAAATATGTTAAGGTAATTATTTATTATTTTGTAAGCTATCATTAAGATTTAAGATCGTTTAGATAATCTCTACATTTGTAATTAGTAATTACTAAATAAACCTTGAACAAATTACCTAACAAAAAAAAAAAAAAAATATTTATAATATTTATTTATTTTTTGTCATTTAGTACAACATTGAAGTATTAATAATAAAAAATTTAATTACCACATGGTTGACAATGTTTTTATCTTGTTTTTATATTTTACAAAAACAACAGCTTTAATTTAAAATATGACATTGTGTCTGTAATTATCAGTATCAAATATCAATGTTTGTTTTATTGTAACGACCAATGAGTTAAATGATTACATTGATTATAATTTATAGACAATAATATTGTAATTACAACTTACAATCAAATATTGTGGTGTTAGTTTTGATATTAGAGCGAGGAAAGAATATTTTATTCTGTTTATTAATTTTCAAGCGAGATATGAGCATTTTTAATTTGTGAAATTTCATATACCTATCTTGCTACCTACCTGTCTTGCTTGAAAATAAAAATATCTAAAAAAATCGACGATTTGTAAGCAATAAGCACAGATAATGTTCTTACCAAAATTGTTTATAATATAGGTTAATTTACACTAATCTTAAAACTAACAGCACACTATTGAAACCAGTTAACGAAAATATTTTTGAATTGCAACAAAATACGTAAGTCAATCGTTTAATTCAGTTTCGTAATTTTTTTCTTGTGAATTTCCAAATTTGTCGAAATTTAATGTCAAACTACAATCTACTTTGACTATATTTTATTACTTTGGTGATTGATATATTATTGTTGCACTTTCTGTTAAACCTTGTAAACAGGGTTAGGTAGATTACTGAATAATGAATATGACATACAGGGTATTTCTTTAATGGATGAGGTCACTAGTTACATGCGTACTCACTGCAATGGAGATTTTTTTTCATTTTCAAAATCTGTGATTATTCAAATTATTTTTAGAACATTATATTGAGTGTATAAATAAACACTCTAGATGTATTTTTTGCGAAATTCTCATACGAATTGAGGCTTCACATCGGTCGCTCGTTTTTCAGTGCCGAATTGCCGACTAAATTAAAGTGATGCGACACTTCGATTTGTATGAAAAGATCAAGAACACTACAAGATAGACCGGGTGATAACTGATAATTGATAGGTAATTATTTATTGTCAGTTAATATACACGACTAATTAACACATTGTTGTACATTGTCGACTGATATAAATGATGAAATAATAACTAAACTAGAGTTAACAGAATTTTAAATGATCGAATTTATTGCCAAAGCCCATAGGTACGTTTAAGTTATGTTTGTAATGTCTAACAGGTCTTACGCTGTAGACTTACACTGATACTTGATAGCCAGGATTTGTTGTTGTTGTGGGATCTACAATATTTTATCACTAGAGCTAGGGTTCTACCGGGTATTTAATTTAAGTTTGATATTTTAGAAGAGGCATTTTACATGGCAATAAATTCGATTATTTTATAAATTACGCCTCGATTCGTATGATAATTTCGCATACAAATACAACTATAGTGTTTATTTTTACATTTAAGATAATGTTCTTAACATTTTTATTTAAGGTCAACTATGAACTGAGAAAGGTGTTTTGCGTTGGCATTATTGACAATTGAATCAGAAATAACAATGGTAGGCAAGTAAAGCAGATTTCGAAGAAATTATCACTTTATTTTCAAATCTCAAAATTGTTTACAATAATAAAATATCAAAGTGATGTCGAACGGATTGTCCGGCGCGAACACAGGTGTTCGTCCGGTCATTCAAGTGTGGAACGATTTTGGAACAAACGCTTACAGTGGCGGACAGAACGGGCGTCCAGCTGGACACAAAAGTGCAGAGTGAGCGCGTATAGTGGCGTACAAACCAAGGGCGGAAGTGGGTCAGTTTTCGCGAACTTGTAAAGCTCGCAGTGACGTTTAAAATATAACACTCGTTATAAACTGTATTCATTACGGTCTATGTCAACAGCGCCACAACAAAACATTCGCCGGACGAATCTGTTCGTGCGGCTCCACAGTGAGCGACGTCTAGGATTGACCGGCGACCGCAGTTACCGTCTAGTCCAGCAATTCTCAACCGGGATCTCGACCCCTTTGGGGGTCGCCAACAATTATTTTAGGATCGTCAATCCATGTGGGAAAAAAATTGTTTCACTTAGAATCTTATAATTAATAAGTGTTATAATATATATATATTTTTGGATAGTCCGATAGTCGATAAAAACGTTCGTTGAAGTGTACATAATATACTTTTTTTTTGTAAAATATATACACAAATAAATACAATAATAACAGTTAGTTCAATTTTTTAATGCTTACATTATAAAAGGGTCGTTGGACATCTTGGTGACATCATAGGGGGTCGTGAACTCAAAAAGGTTGAGAACCGCTGGTCTAGTCCGTTCCCGTGGCCGCCAAGGATTCCATATCCTGGAAAGTCTAGCATTTGTTGGACTCTGCAGCATCACCGCAAACTGCAGTGCTGCCATGTTGTCTTTCGAACTTGTCTCCTTCGGCCGGCCAACCCGGTTGCATCGACAACGACGATAGCTTTTCGCTGACTTCTGCAGCGGCGGCAGGGCAGTGTCATTTCTGCTGCGTTAGACGAATCGGTGGCGACGGCGGCGGACGTCTAAAAGTTTGATACCCTGGATGAAACCGGTGGCGGCAATCCTACATCGCAAGTGCATCGCCTGCGGAATTTGTCTGGACTGCCGCCATTTACATCGTCTGTGAGCCTTCAAATATGCGAGACCACCGCACTTTTCGGTGATTTTCCTGGATCATCGAATCGGTCGTGGTCGGCCTGCTGAAGTCGACCGTAATGTAGTAGGGCGTCGATGTAAGTCGCCTGTGCACTCATCACTTTCTACCACTTTGGGGCGATTTGACCCTCGGAGATCGTCAAAAACCTGGAGCATATAATTTAAGGTCTCGGACTGGATCTTGACATCGGACGGATGCTTCAGTGTGCGATATTCGACATATTGATCTGATATAGTCGATATATTATACGAAAGTAGAGGTACGTTAGAAGTTTTAGACCTTGTTATAAATTATATAAACGCAATATCAGCTGTAACAAATAGGTAAGTACTGAGAACTGATAAGGAATTGAATGCTGTGACATAGATACGATTTGTATGTGTTTCAAACATTAAAGCTGGCAACAAGTTTTGTATAGTTTGGGAATGCATCTAGATTTTTTGATTTACAATACGATAATATTATTTATTAAAATCTTATCTCCATTTTTTTAGCAATACTATTCCAAGCACAAAACATAAGGTTATTTTATTATTTAAATAAAATCTGTCATTTGTAGATTTGGAAAATAATGGATACGTCCAAATCATACCAAACCATAGTTTTCGCCTGAAAAAATGTTGGTTATAAATTATAATACAAACTATTAAAATTAATAGGTTGTTATGCAAATATGTAATATTATTTTATAATTTTTTTTATAATTCTATTTACTAAGATTTTATTTGGTTGTAAGGATTTCCCATAAGTAATAATAAGATCACTATGACGTACACTTAATTTTAATTTTAAAGAGTCACTTATTCTCACTTCTTAAGGCAAATTCAAAACAAATTAACTTAGGCATGCATTTTATCTGTAGGAATTTTCAATTTTGAGCTCTCAAAAAGTCAAAAATATCAACTAGAATACTAGGTCCGTTGAAGATTTTTACTGAAGTATATCGATAGGTATAATGAACTTGAATACCGAACAATTAGTATATTTTAATAATCACACAACTTCTATAATATTAAAGTTTAATGAAAGCATCTGGATTCAAGAGTTGCTTTAAGTGATTCTTAAAGAAACAATATTAATTAGAAATTAGAAATAAGAAAAATGTTAATATTGTTACTTGTAGTCATTTGCACAATAATTATTTTCGTAAGACGTGCCGGTTTTAATGAAAAAATAAAAAATACGGAGCGTGGCGCTTTGTATATGCAATTTTAATACAGCGCGTGTGAGTGAGAGGAAAGTAAAAAACAGCTGTTATAAAATATATTGTAACTGATGTATTAATATTTAAATTTTAACCAATAATTATTGTTACACACTTATTTAATTACATCATAATACTAATACTGAAGAATTGTCGTGATGATTATATTATTCAAACACAGTTTTTTTAAACAAGACCTATAAAAAAAAAAAAACATAAAAACGAATTGTAATAGAAAGAAAAAGCATTCAAAATTATTTACATAATGTAGATTGTTATGTATGTTGTGTGATACTACAATTATCGATACTATCAAACCAGAAGCCACAATCTGAAAAAAACTATAGTTGTTTACTGAATTAAACTATCAATCGTTAATTTTACAATTATTACCAAATAAGTAATGACACTGGAGTATTCAGTGAC